ACACTCACTAGTATTACCCTGTAACACACCAGACCTCACTCACCTTGATCCATAGCATTAATACTGACAGTCCCCACACCAGTATCACTCTCCTTTACATGTTTTACATCTGGTTCAATCCAGCCCTCTATTGATGGTTTCTCTGGAGAGGTATGTACGACTAGAGTATTTAGTCCCTTGACAATCTCTAGTATGCAGGCAAAGGCGATGGACAATGTGTAGCCATCTGGAATTGATGGTGTTTCTTGCTTCTCTAGATGATCAAGACTGAAAAGCAACAAAATCCAAAGCACATCAGATGATAGATTATCATAAGTCCTGGGAAATGATAACAGGTTGTAACTTTGGCACTAAACAAGGACTGTTGAAAAATACAAAGATGAGTAGTGAGAAGTTATTTTAAAAAAAGCATATTGTTCTTACTAGACTGGTTTGGCTTGACCAGAAACAGGTGTGACTGTTAAAGGTACCCAAGCACCTCGGTACAGAAACCCTGGTTGTGGAGTCACCCCTCCCATGGTACTTAATGCCATGACTGAGGGGGGTGGGGCACTGGAGGATGTTTGTATTGTATTGCCACTAGGAGAAGAACTAGAGCTTGGTCCTGTGCCGTGGGATAACTGGTTAGTGAAGAGAGACTGGATGAAACTTGATAATGCATTGACAATGTTGTGGAATATCTTGGTGGAATGTTCCTGCATGTCGTAAAACTGGCAAAAAGACCTGAAATCATGAAAAGAAAAAGAGTAAAATAGAAATGGCATTGGTATTTACTTCTAATTTAATGGCTTATGCAGTAAATATATTTTACAGACATTATGATCTGTGAAGGGTTATTTCATAAGGTTTACTCTACTTAGTTATTTGAAACACTTGACTTACATGCGGATTAGTATGGAGTAAAAAAAACTAGCCTGCAAAGCAGCCCTCCAGACCGCAGGCTAGAGAAAAACCAGAGTACCCAGAGAAAAAGCATTGTGGGAAGTGAGAAAACAAAACATCAAACAAACTAAACTCATATATACAGCTCAACCAAGATCTCACATGAACACTGCTGTAGCTGTGTATACCACTCAGTATGAAGTACACTTGAATTACATCACTCAATTTTCCAATTTAAAAAAGATTAATATAGATGAAGTCACCCACYGCTTACCTAAGAAGGGCAGGTTGGATGGTTAATGTATGAAGGACTTCAAGTGCTAACGCTCGTTGCCACAAAGGTTTACTCGAATCGAGAAACTTGACAAGTAATGACAGGAAAATTTCACATTCTGTCACCTATAAAGAAGAATATTTTGTCAAGATTTGATTATTGATAATATATACAAATGAAGTATTATTTTTTAAATAATGATTAATAATTACCAGTAGTGTGTAAAACTGTTCGATAAGAACAGATACAATCCTGAGCAGTCTTACAGCCACAGGGTACACTGGTCTTTCGACAGACCCTGGTGATGACTGTGATCCTCCTTGTCGATACTTGATACTCGGGGAAAACAACTTGATTATTAGGGGACATACTCTCTCTTTCAGTAGAAAACTGAATTCTGGGTGCTGCAGAAAAATGAAAGGGAAAATGTGATAAGAAATGTTGAACCTGAAAGTACAGTCTGTGTGTCAATGAAAGTATAAACACTAGTAAGGACTGAATTGGTGTAGGGATTGTGAAGAGTTGGCGACAAGATATACATGTATGATAGATATTCATGAATAAAAACCACCTCATATTTCTTTATCAAACTTCCTTTACTTTCCTTTTTACTATTAGAAAGGTGTGAGGATATGACAGGTTATTTGATGGAAAATTTTGCTTGAAAATTTCCTCTACCAAAGTTATTTCTATTTCTAAGCAATTCTAGTCTTTAGAATTAATACCTTAAGGAAGATGTGAGGATATCCTCTGAGAACAGATTCCAGGAGTTCTAAACCGAAGGTTCTTGTCATTTCTACTACACCATGAAGCCAATATGGCTGTTCTCCACTTGTCAATTGACACAGATCCTATTGAGACACAATCATATTAATGTTCAGTGTAACACACAAACAGATTGAAGTGTTTGCTTGTCATCTGATCTTTACCTGGAACAATAGATAAGCATCCCTTGCACAGGGGTGCAGACTCACGGGACAGTTTTTGTGTCTTGTGTTGGAAACATCATCAGGCTTTTCATCATCTAGGATCAAGAAATAAAAGAATAAACTAAAAATGTCTCCCTAGCCTGAGGTACTCCATCATTACTACCACTACATTCAATATTCCATGCATTATAGAGAGGGGCAAAACACTCAAACCATATGTTGGTTATTATGGAGGGAAGAAAATCAGAGAACCTGGAAATCCATGCTGCAAGTTTGATACCATTTAAAGTTCTACAAAAGCAAACTCAATCAGACCCCAGACCTTTTATAAGGAATTGTTTTAGTATAATGTTTTTTGGTTGATTGCTGTTTGAAAACAGACCTTTAGGATTACTGTCTTCTGTAACAACTCTATCAAACACAACAGAAACCATCTGACGGACAGTAGCAGCAGCAGTTCCACTGACTGTTGAATCTTTAACAAAATAAAGCCTGAAACATAATGCCATAGCCTGCAAAACAAACAAGTGGAAAGAACAGATTAAACTGTTTACTGAATACGATTCACAAGTGTCATAATACTACAGCATCTACTGCCCTATAGAGGCTTGGCACCATCACATGATGGCAGCCATGACAGGAGGCAGGAACAATAATTCTGGTCTAATCTGGTTTACATGAGAAAGAATTCAGTTTCCCTGGGGAGAAAGACTCTGTTGTTGTGCCTCCTGTCATGGCTGCCATCACATGATGGTGCAAAGCTTCTATAGTTAGGTAAAAATAAACTGATAGTAATAGTCTCTAATTATATCACTCCCCTATTGGAAACCGGTATTCTATTTTATTGAATAGGTTAGCATGCATAAATAAAGTTGATCTCATTTCTCATCACATCTCAATGTATAAGACTAATATTATACCATTGCATTACATTCTTGCTTACCTTCCCCAAATGATCCCCATGTACTATGTTTGAAGTAGTTATCAACAGTATGACAGTCTGTAGAATCCTTAGCTCCTCTAAACCACTCTCCATTAGGTTCCATAGTGTACTAACAAGATTATTGGCTGAAGGCTGACAAGGTGAACATTAAAAACATTCATTAGTACATTGGACTCTTAACAGCTCATAACTCACAGTACCTAAGAGGGGCTCAGAAAGGGGCTGAGGGGAGGGGAGGGTGGAGCAATAGATGGGGTCCCACACTTTTGCTAAATAATCTACTTAATTTTCAAGTGTCATCTGCCCCATCCTTTAGTTATACACATACTTACATGTACTACTCTACTATATTTTCAAATAATCTAAGCTTTTCCCAAAATGTTTAAGGGTGCTACACAGTCCCTATCTTTTGAATGTTGTTCCATAAAATACATATGTCTCTTCCATGAAGAGGAACCATGTCTTACATGAATGTAACATCCATGAAATTCAAAAAAGGAAGTGAACAGAATGTTTTATGCATATTTACTCTCCTCACATATTGACACACTAGAATATTGTTTGATGTATGAATATCTCACCTCAGACAGAGCTTCATTTGTTATGAGTCTTTGTAATGCTGTTAATGAGATCTGTATGACTCTAAGTGACTTGGTGTCACAACCAAGCAGAAATGGCTGCAGAATCTCATTCTCCTCGGCTAAAGCTGCAATGACAAAATCAAAGGGAATTATAAGATAGCCATCTAGTAACTATTTAGTATATTGATTTTGTTACATGTGTGTGTGTGTGTGTGTGTGTGTGTGTGTGTGTGTGTGTGTGTGTGT